TATATATATATAATTATCGCAACCATACACACATGCGCGCGCACATACATACACACAGTACACGTGTACATATTAAAATTTAATTGAACATATAAAATATGATTTTTATAAATTCTTTATCTATGTATATGAAAAGATGATATAATGTAAGTAAATACTTGTAAATATAATCTTACATATTACCTTGATTTTTTATTAAAAAATATATAAAGTATTGTAGAGAGATGACTAGTACTTATAATTTTCCAATACCAACAATAATTAGCTAAATAGATTAGCACAAATTTTTATCTCAAACTATATATTTTGCAAATCTCTCTATGACACAGTGTAATGATTTACAAAAGTTGCAATCCATGGACCTCCAATATTATTTACATACTTACGGGTGAATGTATAATTACATACTAAGTGTTTTGTTGATGTGGTAAAATCTACCATTCCACTCATCATTTTATTTTTTTTCTCAGCAAGACCTTGGATATAATGACAAATTATTGTAATTTTAATGGAATGCTCCTCACCTGTGAAAAAAATACACATATGACATATATTTCTCTCTCTCTCTAAATATAATTTAAGAGGATATAATATAAGAGAATTAAGAGAATATAATTTAGTTAATACTAAATATAATTCCTACCTATTGTAGCTGCAATATCAGATAAAATATAAAACAACATGTCACCCTCATCTACTGCAATTAATTGCCTTTGATTAGGACTAAGGGTCTCGATCTTTGCTTTTAAAATCTCTATCATATCTTCTGTTACGAGGCCTTGTAAGGATTCATAATCTTTATTTGTTAAAGCTTTAGATATTACTACTGTTGCCTAAAAATGTACAATAATAATATATTTATTAATATATGTAAACAATACCTTTCATTTTTTTTTTTTTATTTGAATAAGTTATAAAAATCATACATATTTGGCTCCTTTAAGAAACTCATCAACATTAAATTCTTCATCTATGTGTGGAGTGATTCTAAAAGCTGATAAATAGAGAAGCTTCAATGGGGTTAAAAGAGACGGTATATGTGTAGGAGCCCCATCCACAAGCATAGGCAAGAAAACCTCCGATTCGGTGCTATAAATTCTACAGGAAGCAAAATTCGGAAGCGATGTAGACAGTAGATTTGATTCATTATAATATCGTGGGATCTTTGTTCTCGTTTTGTTTCTATAAGCAACACATGCAATAATTCTTCGTAGATTGCACGGAACACTTTTTCTAATTGCCGGGATTAACATTGCAACTTGCATAAGAGCGTGCAAATGCAAAAGTTCTCAAAATCGGAACGCGAGATATTTTTCTAACCTATTTTCTATATAGCATTAATGTCACTCTTACTTATAATAACGTTTGTACACAGATTCACTTAAAATTCTTTATAATGTATCACTTTAGTAATGATATTAAACATTGTTTATGTGTACACTTTGCACAGTGTTTTTCACAAAACTTATTTTATTGTTTAACAATTGCTCTTAGAGATTTTTATAGTTGGCGCCAATTGAAGGCAAGCTAAAAAGAAGTCACAAATTTCAGCGACTTTTAGCATTAGATATGAACTTTTACATTAATATTATATTATATATTACAGAAAGTTTGTCGAAAATTCCGATTAATTATTAGAGAGAAAATTTCTAAAATTTTGATAAACAATAATCCTATAAATTATGGATATATTTGATAAATTTTTGTTGTATGACGTGTGTGTGTGCGCGCGCACGTACAAATCTCCCTAAAATTACAACCAAATATTTCCCGAAATACTTATTATTGCGCGAGTCGTGTCTCATAATTACATTTATTCTATGACAAACTCGTTGACATAACCGAGTACTAAGACCATACATCACCGTACATTTCGCATACACTTACAAAAATATTACGCAATATATACGTATTCTTTTAGTTAAATTATTTTGAGGAAGAATTAAAAAAAAGGAGCAGATATGAGATTAACGTCTACTTTATTGAGACGCGTGGGAGAATGGTCGAAGAAATATGCAAATTTACCAGATAGTTATATAGATCGGACTATGGCACAGGTATGATTATCAGGCATAATTATCTAATTGTTTAGAAAAAAATGCAGCATGTGTTGTGCTTATAATATATAATGATTCATTCTATTCATTATTTTTTATGCATACCTCATCTTATTCTTCATCAATTTCTTTTTTAACATTATTAATAAATTACAATTAGGTTTATTGGAGAACACCTCGTGGTAAGCCAAATTATTTGCCACGCACGATCGAAAGGAAAAATTTTCGTTTCTCCATACATCGTCCATGGACTAATAACTTCCATCATGATAATAAGCCTGGTAAAAGACATAAATTCATTCACGTCGAGCCTATTAAGGACTGGAGTTTCTTTAGGGGTGATAGGGTGCGTAAATTTACTCTTGGAAAGCTTTAATACTTTAATATATTTAAAGTAAATAATTAATTAATAATATTATTTCAATACAACTTATGGCATTATATATACAAACAGATTCATATTTTTCTAAAATTGTATAGGTAGAAGTTTTAGTAGGGAATGATAAAGGAAAGCAAGGAATCGTAAAAGAAATCTATCAAGAAAGGAATTGGGTAATTGTTGAAGGACTTAATACAAAGCTAAAATGCATTATGAAGGACAAAAAATTTCCTGGTTTATATATGAAGGAGGAACAACCATTATTAGTAACCACACAGATACAATTGGTTGATCCTTCAGATATGTAAATATAATTTATTCAAAGAGTTCGTTTTATGAAAATATGGGCAAAATATTTTATAACAATATTATCTCTCTCTATAACATAAATTGAATCATTGTAGGCAAGGAACTCCAATAGAATGGCGATACACAGAAGATGGCCAAAAAATTCGCATATCCTTGAGAACTGGTAGAGCAATTCCTATTCCTGTCTCGAGTGAAGAAACAATAGATTATAAATCCGCTAAGTTTTACAAAGAACAAGCAAAAGATACAAGTAAAGCTGATACAGAAAAAGTAACTTTTATGGTATGTAATATAACATTTAAAAAATGTTGCAATTTAAAATCTTAATTTGACTTTTACATGTGAATTATATACAAATATATACTATAATACATGATATAAATAATGTAAAATAAATATATCTTTTATATTTGTAGCCATCATTGAAGACTTTCGAGATGGATATCATGGATGAAATGGGTATTAAAGACGATCGTATACAGAAGAGCTGTTATTGGTATTAATTATTGTTATATACAATTTCCTGTTATTAAAGTTTCTCTACAATTATAATTTAATAAATATATTAAGTGAATGAAAGAATTGGAACATACAGTCATTCTTTTAACATAACTAGAACACAAGAAATTTCTCTTACAATCTTTTTGAATAAAAAAATTGCTAAAAAAATGGAATATTTTTTTATAACATTAATAAAAGATAAATTTTTTATATAAATAATCGATAATTTCAACATCTTCTTTCACACACACACACACACACACATGGTATCAAAAAATTATATATCCTTGCGAAAGCTACATTATAGTATCGTTGTTTGCAATTTGTTATACAGGAAATATCATATGCAATAAGGAGAAAAAAAAAATATTCATAACATTAAACAATAAAAAGCGAACAATTCAATATTTTATATAACGAATTTACATTGGATTAAAATATGTAATATTGATTAGTGTTTCGATTAATAATCGTTTGACGCTAAATCATGTTACTCACACATATCACAGCACAAATTTTAATAAATGCAAATCCGGAAACACTCAATTCTCCCTCGTATTACGTTTAAATATTCCAATACATACTTTTATATTAATGATATCTGTTATATATATATGACACTCTTTTCCTCTTTTCCTTTGCGCATTTATAACTCCGAACGAAATTAAATTAATTGTAGTTTAAATTAAATTAGCGATTAATTAAACGTCAATTTCAATATTGTTAGAAATTTATAGCCATAAAGGCGCGCGTGTAAAAATATAAAAGGACAGAATATTGTTTCAAGGCTCGATTCTACCTGAGAGAGATGGTAGAATTTTACCTAATGTTCACAAAATTATGTTTTAATATTTAAATTACAACTTTAAATTCGCCGATGCAGGGATTCCACTCTATTAGTTCGCAGTTCATGACTGCGGCTAATATCAGTTTGAAAGTGTGACGTAGTTAAACGCGCTTTTACGCGAAGTGTTGTGGAGTTCTTTTCGAGTTCTCAGGCTTCGAATTTCTTATCGAAATTGGTACGTTATACATATTTTGTCTTCCTATATCCTTAAGAAAAATATAACAGGACAGAGAATCAAGTTTGGGAAAGATAAAACGCGAGACGAGTGTCGGACCATCACGACGGATCGTTTCTCAATACAACCGTCCATTTTCCCCCCGCTTCGTCTCGGATCACACAAAGTTCAAATATATATTCCATCCTGTTATATTTTTATTATGCCTACGATTAACCGCTAGCATCTCATTCGTTAGAACTAATTTCATTAATTTCGTTGATCGATTTATATATTGCGAACAAAGAATTATTCGCCGATGCAGGGATTCCAATCTATTAATTCTCAGTTCATGACTACGTCACTGCAATCGCTACGGCGGCTAATATCACTTTGAACTAGTTTGAAAAAGTAACGATTAAAATTAAACGCGCTTTTACGCGGAGTGTCGTGGAGCTCTTTTCGAGTTCTCAGGCTTTGAATTTCTCATCGAAATCGGTGCGTTGTACACATTTTATCCTTCTATATTCTTCAGAAAAATACAACAAGACGGAGAATCAAGTTTGGGAGAGATAAGACGCGAGACGAGTATCGAATCATCACGACGGATCGTTTCTCAATACAACCATCCATTCCCCCTCCCCCCTGCTTCGTCTCGGATCTTTCAAAGTCCTCGTCCAAAGTAAGTACTTTACATTCCGTCCTGTTATATTTTTATTATGCCTACGATTAACCGCGCGCATCTCATTCGTTAAAGCTAATTTCGTTGATCGATCTACATGTTGCGAAAAAAGCGTTATTTTATACACAGTATACGGCGAAATATCCGATAATATTTCCGCATAAATATGCATATCGCATCTCTATCAGTACGTAAGTTCATTAGACATACGCTTTTTCTCATACCATTTTTTGGAAAAAATTATAACTGAAGAATGCGAGAAATTACGATCCGCGCGACCGATTATAAATTCCAGCAGCGATTATTAATTTCTTTATTATGATGCATTTAAAATTGATTAATTGTATTAACGATAGCTGCGAGAAAGGGCTATTAAAAATAGTTAAAATGCCTTTGTAACACAAATACCTATTCGTATTATATATGTCTTATTGCATTAACGATAAGAGTTAGAAAACACTGAAACAAACATATATATCTCTTGTATTATTACTCGATGCTATTAAATGGCGCATCAGTATTGATCACCATTTTATACGATATATTCTACCGTTTCGTATTCTAAAGTAAATCAACAGGAACCACTATAGTAAGGCGTCGGGGCGGCTACGGTCGGCTAAAATTGACATTAAAGAAATAGGCGATCTACAATCAGGCTCATACTTTAACTACTTACTCGGTTATTTGCTTGTCGCAAACTCTTAATTCGAACTATTACTGCACGGCCGGCACTATGAAATTAATGTCGTACGAATCGTACGTATCGACATTAAACGTTATCGAAGTTAAACGATTAATTGACAACGCGTATCTATCTACTTCATTCCATTAATATTAACGATCCATTTTGCATATGGCATGCATCATATAGAAATTCTTATATGCTTTGTTGTCAAAGTATATTATATCAATAATATGCTCTTTATATATATATCGTTGTTTTTCAACGAAATTTCCAACGCAACTACATGACAAATATAATAAATTCAACAAATTATATTCAACGTCTAATCAATGCGATTATTGTGAATGCAATTGAATTTTGTATTGTCAATCGAAATTGGAAATTTGCATCCATTAGGCCTCTTCTTCCGCAAGAAATTCCATTTTTATGAAAATATAGCATTATAGTCTCGCAACTATATTGCATTATATCGCAAATTTACATTTAATATTTAGAAGATACATTCTATTTTATTGCTATTTACATACAAGATTGTATCTGCTAAAAGTGTAATATCTATGAGGCATTCGACCGAAAGAAAATAAATTAGCAAATTGTGTGAGCCACTTTCTCTTATTTTTTTGTTAATTAATATGACTCGTCTATAATAAATTTATGATATATAATTATACATATTAGAGCAACGAATATATGAGAGATATCCAATAGTTTAAACGCCTCAGAAATATCGTGAATAATTGTTTCTTTAGAAATCAGCGATAATAATCTCTTATTTTATTTAAAAAGCAGTATTATTCAAATTTTCAAGCTCGATAAAATAACTTCTCATGTAATATTAATGCAGTTGTATATATAATCTCTCGAACAAGAAATTATCACGCCTATATTAAGCCCGTTATGCCCCGTTTAACAAGTATCGATCGAAAAATTATCCAGTCGCTTGGCACATTTCTGCACTCCCGTTTGCAGCGGGATTCCTTACTTTTCACGAGGATTTGGTGGCAGGATGCCTGACTAGGAGATTTACTTCACCGTCGTGTATCTTCTTCATCAAAGACCACGCTTCTATCCTCGACATTCGCGTTACATCGTTACCGTTTACTTCGAGCAATTGATCCCCGGCTTTTAACGCACCTGTCTTCTCGGCAGCACCTCCTACGACAAAAAGAATGAAGCTAAGATTTGATGCTATACATTCCTACTATTGTATCTTTGTTATCTCGTTACAATAATCAGCGTTGTCTCTTATTATAGTTATCATAATTACAAATATATAAAAAATATCTGCATAAAATTTACCGGTGAATATCTTCTTGATAATCAAAGGTCTGTCCCCGAGGGGGCTATCCCTGCCGCCTTCCAGACTAAATCCTAAACCAGATCCATCTTTGTAGACTGCCACAGTCGACGGTGGGCCCCACGCTGTGTCCTCCACATTTCCATTCATCTCTAACCCTGAGAAAATTCTTTTATTTATATCGATTCTATTATTGTTAAAATAGTTCACGAGACATGGTTGCTCCCTACCTTCGACGATGGTTTCGACGCTCGCGGTCCGCGACCTCAGCTTGCAGCCCTCCTCCAACCTAGCCCTCGACACGACCAACACGACTTCCGATCTCGGTTGCTTTAGCACTGCCATGCTCTCCCTGTGGGTGAGACCTCGCGTGCTCCTGCCGTTTATACTGAGGATCCTGTCGCCCCTTTGCACCCGGCCGTCTTTGTCCGCGATGGAGTGTGTCAGCACCCGGTGAACCGTGATCTCCTTCACCTCGCAGTCCGCGCCGCCGGCCAAAGTGATGCCGACGCTGCCGGTCGGATTTTCCTTATGAAGCAGAACGACTACGACATCGTGCGCGCCGCGTGCCTCCTCTAAACTCGCTTCTTCTACGAGCTGCGCCAATTCCTGTTGCGAGATCAAGCTGGTACTGCTCGCCAGCGAGCTGATACTGCCAAATTGTTCGCCGTAGCATCTGTCGACATCCGTTTCCGTTCCGATGTTCTCGTCCACACTGCTATCCAGACTTGGGAATCGATTGTGAGTGCCGCCGGCGCACTGTTGTGACTGGCTGTGCACAGGACTCGCATCCAGGGCTCTCTTCATATCTGTAACGCTGGCACTGCGTCGATTCAGGCCGCGGGACGTCGGAATCTTCGACGCCGTTGCACTTTTTATTTTCTCCACACTTTGTGACATTTCGTCACCGCTATCGATATTCCTAGCTTTTCCTAAAGTAGGTATCTTCGAGACAAAAGGTTTATCTTCCGACCAAGACTCGTTCGACGTAGTAGAGCCTCTTCTACAGTATCGACCTTCCTTCGAATCCCAAGTAGATTTAATCGGCAAACTCGTTGTTGTGGCGCCATTCTTCTCGATTCTCGGCTCTATACTTTGCGCGCGAAGTAACTTAGAATCTGTTTTAACGGCCAATATGTCCTCTAGACTCATTTGACTCTTTGATCTGCCAAAAGTCCCTTCGTCGACGTGTATAGCTGATCTAGAACGGCTCTTTGTCGTTAAGATCGTTAGGAGATCGTTTTGATCTTCCGTGCTCCTTCTGGGACTTACACTCGCTCTGCTTTGTGATTTTGATGTTTCCGTCGCACCGACTTTTGCTTCGTTTATTGTGATTCTGCTCTTTGAAGGCAAACCGCCATTTAGTGTTGAATTAATAGGTTCGTCAAACATGGAACCGTGATTCTTTCTTGCCGTTTGAATTACAGATGACATTTCTAAAGGTTGAGCAGCGGGAGGACTTTTGTCGTATTTGTTGTTCGATTTTTCTTCCATGGCTCGCACGATAGTCTTCGCCTCTGCTCGAACCCACATTTTAAGATCGTTTGACGGCTCTAATATTTCGGGTTTCGGCGGTCTAACAGACGGCGGCGGTAACATGCTTCTTTTAGGTGGCAGTTTCAGTTCTTCTTCCTTCTTCTGAAAGAATTCCTCATCCTTCGCGAAAGGATCTGCGACCTCTATATAAGCTATCTTGATCTCTTGTTTGCTCGCGGAATCACTCTCCGAATCATTGATGATTGTCTGACGAACAGCACCGCCGTTCTCGATAGCGATATCCTCGTCGTCCGAGAATTTTCGCTGGATTAACGGCGACCCGTTCAGATCTCTTCCGCTCCGACATCTGGCACTTGCCAGGATATTCTTTCGATTTATGGCCTCCACGCTTTGCGGCTTCAACACTCTTCGGGATAGAGATTCGGCGCTGGCCTGAGATCCGGACGTCAACGTTGAGGATGTGCTGCAATTTGTATCGGTGCTATTCGATCGTCTTAGCTGTCGCTGTGGGATCTGCGAGTTTCTCGAAAAGAGCTCGTTCGGTTGAGGCGATCGCGGATTCGAGCCGCCGCTGCTGCTGCTAGATGAGGATCTCTCGGTTAGACACGTTCGTTCACCGAGAAGACCTATTCTGGAGCCGAATTGATCTTTATCGGATTCACCAATTGAATCTCTAACATCTCGTGACACCAAAGTTCTGTTCAAACTGTCCGCGATCAGAGGTCGACGTTGGTAATTCAGTTCCGTGGAGACGTAAGATCTCTCCGAGGAGATGGTGGATCTTTCCGATGGTGCCGGAGACATCGGTGGACTGAAGCCGCGAGATATACTACTCTGAGAACTGCTCACAGCTGAATCGTTATCAGAATCGTCATAATCCAAGCGAGCCTTCCTCTGTATCATTCTCGGTCTGTTACGCGAACCATCCGGCGAGCTGGTCGTCGAGGCAAATTCGAAGCTATAATCACTTCTCGTCGGGCTGCAGATACTCTCCAAGCTTTTCGGTGGCTCCGAAAATGCTGACGTGCTTGACGGGGAGCTTTTGATCGGACTATTGCCATTTATCGAGAAAGAGCTCGTCATAGATGTACCGTATACCGTGAGAGATTTTCTCTTGAAAGCCGGAGAATACTTGGAGTGTATCTGTGGCGCCGGCATTTTGAAGGATGTTGTCGCTTTCAAGGGCTGGCTTGCCGTGCTGGCATTGCTGATCAAGGAACTTTGAGACCCCCATTTGTCTTGAATATTTGCCTTTGGTATCTGAAAAAAAAAATATACGATACGCGTCATATTTTTAGTATTTAGTATTTTTTGTATTTTGAATATTTCTGCGCAAAAAAATCTAAAAATATTTCAATATAATTTGTAAAAATGGATTTTTAAAAATAAAAGATAATTAATTTCGCAAGTATTACCATGTCGCAAAATGCGAATTCTATAAAAAAAAAAAAAATTGGGGAAAATGATCCATATAAAATATTCCATATATTGAAAAATATATTGTATCGGCAATTTTAAAGCTTACCTGATGTAGTAATATCGAATCGCGTGATTTGATTTCCGGTAAATCAACGATGGGTTGATCTATCGGCACGGTGTCTTTTTCCGGTATAACAAGTCCACGTAGTTTCGATATCGATCTCCGCCTCTGCTCGATCAGCTGATTCAAACTGCTTCTTCTTACATCATCTCCGGGTCGTTTAAACGTAGATGCCAGAGAATTTGTTCTCGAGATTTGTGAATTACCGGTTGAATCGACTGCTAAAGAATTTCGATCTTGCACGAAGGGCGTTGAGCCTGAGAAACTAGTAGCTCGCATCAATAAAGGCGTGCTCGTCGTTTTAATCAAATTGTTAGCATTATTATAAGAATCGACGGTTTTACTCGGATACGTGGCGTTCGACAAGTTGTTACTTTCGGTACAATAATTCTTCATCGTCGTATTTGAAAAAATCTGCTTGTCGTACGAAGGTGATAACGGACTCGACAATGATGTAGCTTTCGGCGGAACAACTGGCAGCGTCTTTGGAACGCGCGTAGTTTGCGTAATAGGACTCAATAAAGCAGGCTGAGGAGGCAAACTGGGTGTTCTCTGGCTATATTTCTTCGCGGAATCATGCCCTGTTGGTGTCCTGGCCGAATCGGTGAGATCAAAAGAGCTCTGTGTCCTATCGACGAGGAAGGCCGACCGATCCTTCTGTCCGTTACTCTTGTCGTCGCAAAAAACGTCTTCGGAGGATTTATACTTGGAAAGACGTTTGCCATTGCTCGTGACTGTTGCAGCTGTCATGACATTGGGGAACAAGGGCACGTCGAGGTTGCTCTGCGACGAAAACATGGCGATTTTGTCTCGGACAGATCGTTCGGACTTATCGTCCTGCCTCCAGAGATCGCCGTTTAAAGAAAATTTTCTCTGCGGCGACTCCATCGTAGAAACGTTTTTGGCGTGCAAAGTCATTTGCTCCAATTTAGGCGGGCCTAAGTAATAAAATATATTTTTGCAAAACAAATTATATAAAAATAAAAAAAAAAAATAAGAGTAATATGATATAAAAATGTGCCATATTTCAGATAATTTCAAAAGTAAAATCAATTTTGTCGATATATAATATATATACAAAATTTTCGAAATATGACCTCGAATCCAATAATTTGATTATGTAATTGTGATATGCCGGCACTGCTTGTCGGAGAAAAAGTAAACGGGGACAGAGAGAGGTTTAATTCAAAGCTAAATGAGTACCTGTCAATGGTAGAGGCGGCGGGGTATCGACGGGCGTGTCCTTTTCCACGTGGCTTGGCACCTCCCCGATTGTCATCGCGTCCTTGTGATAATATCCGGCGATCTCCATCTTCTTCTCGCTCATCGTTGAATTGCCGTTGTTCGTCTGGCAAGAATAAAGAAGACTTGCCGCGACGGTAGGAGCGTTTTTCTTCGCGATATCTTCCGAAGTGTGATAGGACGACGATTTTCTCTCTTCGTTAGAAACCTCGGAGGACTTGGCGTTATCCTGACATACGTTATCCGCAATGGTCGAAGTAGCTTTAGTTCCTATCTCCGGTCGGACGTTCTCCACATTCGTCGAAGCGACTTTGTTTATATCCTGCCTCACGTTTTCAGGGCTCGTCAACGTCATCTTACTATCGGACAGAATAATGCTCCTCGAACCGACAACATTGCTGTCGTTCGCGAGCATCTTAAATGTCTCGCCGGCACGGAACGTCTCGTTCTCGTTGCACAATCCGCCATTCGTGGCTATTGTCGCCGTCGTCCTTGTCGCGGCGATGTATCTGCTATACGGTGGCTGGCTGTTGCTAAATTCTTGATACGCTGCTGGAAATTCGTCCCCGTCCGGGGGCAGGCGTTGGCCGCCTCCGCAGTTCTCCATCTTACCATTTACTGTGTCTGCAACAAGTATTTTCAAATATTCGAGATAAAAGTTTGAGCCTTTAGAGATTTCAGTAATAATTAAAATATTTTAATATCTATCAATCGTAGATTTGAATGATAAAAAAAAATAATTTTTTAAACAAAAATAACAAACGTAAAACAAATGATTCCTATGTATTTTCTTTCTAAAGATAACGAATGAAAGATAACGAATTTTATGATTGCTGTTATATATTTGACAAGCTATCGTTTGTATAGAGTGTCTGTTTCGGTCTCTGATAAGGTAATGGATTCAAGGTGAAACAGATGGATTTGAACAACACTATCCTCATTGCTCAGTCAAATAGATTACGTGAATTCTCGCGAAAGATCCGAAAGTAGTTCATTCGGCACGCAGCACCATGGTGTTTATAATAAAAAAATATCAACTTATTAGGCGCATGAATTATTCCTCTAGATATTATTTTTTTTATTTTAATATGTACGCTTATGTCATGCCTTAAGAATTTTCTCAGGAAGGAAGTGCATCGATGAAAATATTTACACCATTAAATAGCGAACGTGCAAACTACTTGAGTGATTCATCGTGCGCATATCGACACATTACACATCGCGATGAGTGTATTGTCGTTCAAAAAAAAATGACATCATCTCTTCGATTTTTCATGCGTTTAGTCTGACGAAACGCATTCGCAAAATTTCGCGATTTTTCACGTTCGTCAATGAAAATTCGGCGAATATTTCCAGAAGAGCTCGGAAGA